ATACATACATCCATGCATTCATGCATCCATACATCCATACATCCATCCATACATCCATCCATACGTACGTACATACATGCATACGTACATACATGCATACGTACATAAATACATGCATACTTAGACACACGATGTATACATACACACACACACACACCTACAAGAACCCTTTTGGGTCAAGACTGTACGGCAGGGCGTCAAGCTCTGGCGACGAGCACCGAAGGCGCGCTAACTTGAAAGTGTGCTCATGACTGAGTGGTTTTAGTAGGGTTCGAGGTTATGGTCTCGGGTCTGGGGGGCTTCCAGAAATTCAGGGGTATCCTGCCCCATACTGGAGACTCACATGCACAAGAAAAGGGAACATGATGGGTAAGTGGAGATTTATGGCCGTTTATAGATGTTAGGGCTTCCAAAAGCTTGGGCTTTGCTTTTGGGAAGTCCCTCCTCGACGGACTAAGGTATATTGGGGGTCTATATTCGGCTTTCCTTATTCTTTGAAAACCAGCATATATTGTGTTTGAACGTCAAAGAACTTTTCACGGTTGCGGCCCAGATGTGCCACAGGTGTTAGCCCCTCCCGCCCCCGGAACGCGAAACCGTAAAACACAGCAAAGGCCCACAAACGCTAAAACACCTTAAGCTCAACAAAACTCAAGACCCGATCAAGCCGAGCCCTACAAAAGTTATAAAAGCCTGTGCCAAAAACAAAAGTCTAGATATCCTAGTAGTACCCTTTTGCCCTTCTCATTTTGGGGTCTCCTTATGAACACTGAATAGTAGGAAAAAGGGTACCCTTATTATCAATGGGTTCCTGGGGAACCTAGAAGTTTGGCTGTGGGGTTCAGGGTTCCAACGCCCCCTAAACCCTAATCCCGGAGCCCTGGGCCAGGTTCCCAGAACCGATCCCACGACGTCTGTCGACGGCTGAAGGAGGCAGTACCTGAACCCCAAAAGTAGGTAAAATAATAGCCCAAAACCCATTAATGTAGCCCAAAAGGCCATTATTCTACATAATTTTTTTGGGTTTAGGTAGAAGTTTAGGGTTCAGGTGTAGGATTTTTGTGGCTTGGGTGGGGTGGGCTTGGTGTTTACAATTTTAGGGTTTAGCGTTCAGGGTTTAGGGTTTTGCGGGTTTAGGTTTGGCGTTTAGGGTTGCAGCATTTCGGGCTTGCTTTCTCAAAACGGGGCAACTTCAGCACCCAGGGATGTATGCGGAGTTTAAAAGCATTATGCGGAGCCTCGGAACTGCTTTGAGCAAATCGAAGGAGCTCAGGGTTCAGGGGTGAGGTTTTGGGTGTATATCAAGTTTCCGGGGAACTTCATCACTAGCTCATGTGGTTTCTTAGGTCTCACAACAGGGTCTTTTCGTCTACCCCAAGAACGAGGACACTGATTGTGACGATGTGGAAAAGCGACACTGAGACTTCGAGTTTCAACCCCAGAAAGTCGCCCCAAAACTCATCCCTGACACCCAAATTCTCAAACTCCGTATTCCCTAAACTCTAAACCCCACACTCTGCGTAATCCTGCCATAAAACCGAAGGTCTGCTTCGTAGTGCAGGTTTCAATCCGCCTCATTCACTGCACTGGGACCGGCTTGAGAAGTTAAGGGTTTAGGGTTTAGATTGAAGTTCAATGATCCAAGCGCGACTTTGCCAGGTGCCTCATTCAGGACGCAGACTCACAATACTTAAGCGTTTCGCAACCACAGTACAGAGACTTCTCTGCTAGCCTTGAACCTGAAACCCAGCACCGCGGCCTAAATCCCAAACCCTCAGGCCTACACCCCAAACCCCAAACCTTCAACTCTCTAAGGCCGAGAGCCTACACCCTAAACCTTACATCCTAGACCCTACTGAATGTTTAAATCCCAGGCCCTAAACCTCAAATCCTGATGCCTAAGCCTTGACATGTACCTCATGCAAGTGAACCTCGACTTAATGTTCCAGTACGATCATTGCAATACTGTTTGAGTGCTGCAGGCGCTGCAAAACAAAGTGGCGACATGGGAGAGGCTAACTTCTTGATGTGGGAGCGCGCATGCTTTTTGATAGGGTCTGGTAATCCCAGCCGTGGCGGCTTGAAATCAGAAAACCAGAAGAAGGCGTAGGCCTGTTGCCGAGTTTCGGGGACGTCCACGTGCACAGCCAGCTCCATGGGCATCGTGCTGGCGCAGTCCCACATGACACGCATACAGTCGTTGCTCGAATCAGAAGCCGCGACCATGATCAAAACTCAAAGCCTAAGGGTCCAAGGACCCAAAAAATTAGGGTTTTAGGGCCCAAATACTATGGTATTAATGGCAGTCGGCCCTGAAGCCCTATTATTTGGGTCCTTGGACCTTTATATAGTCCTCATATATCCCTATACATCCCTCTATAACCCCTTTAAAGGGACCCTATTATTTGGGCCTTCGGGCAAGAACGGTTCGCGGGAAGCGTTTTGTCTGGCAGCAGCTGGCGGAAACAAAGCCCCTTCCCCTCCATCCTACGGAAATCTCAGGGACCACATGAGCTTTACAAAGCCTTTATAATCTACCTCCCTATCTCCCATGTAAGCCCTACTTCAGCCCTATTTCTAGATCCTACAACCTAAGCGTGAATCTCGTAAACCCTGGACCCGCCCTGTAAAATTCAAAGCCCCAAACCCTAAATCGCTAAAACCCCAAAAACCTAAACCTGAAAAGTTCAAACTTCAGCCGAACTAGGCCCTATGCCCTAAACCTGAAAATTCAGGCCCTATGCCCTAAACCCTAGAGCCTAAACTCCAACCCTAAACCGGAAAATTCAGGCCCTGGACTCCTTTTCGGCGGTTGACGACCCAGGCCTAGACTTGCTATGAAGTAATAAAAAAACACCGTGGAAGCTAGGATTTAGGGCTTTGGGTTGAAGTTTTAGGGTTTAGGGTCTAGGGTTTAGGAATCAGGGTCTGGGATTTAGGGTTTTGGATTTAGTTTAGGGTGTAGGGTTTTGGGTTTAGAGTCTGAGGATGGCAATAGCGATGCCACCCGACATTGCCTTAAATTGTGGATATCGGAGATTTTCCCAGATTTGCCTAATTTTAAGTTCTGGACCTAGACTTAGACCCTCCATCTACCTTCTACATGCTTTAGATACCCACTATTAGGGACCATATAGCCCACTTAAGGCTACGAGGAGGGTCCTGGAAATTGTTATCAAATTGCCAGTATGAAGGAATGGAAGACAAAATGGAGACTTACTTAGGGATTAGGTTTAGAGCCTACAGCTTAGGGTCAGCGACACTCAGTAAGTCTAGATGCAAAATAGCAATCTGCTGAACGCGTATGTGCAGGATTGGTCATGTTCGTGCTGAGCTCATGAGCGGTTCAGATGAGCATGGCTTATCAAGGCTTCAGCTTTAAGCTTCTCAGCTTGCACAGCCGTAGTCTTAAGACTTCGAACTTTGCTGTCGTGCTATAAAGAACCTCGGTTATTGAGTTCTCGCCATGGCTTCTGAAGACCTCTTCCAGTCACCTGTGACACCCACCGCTCCACAGGTTATGAGCCCAATCGTGAACCCTGCGCTGGAAGGGGAATCGTTAGGGCCTAGCTACGGCACCTTGGGAACTACTGGTGATGGTGTTGTGAACGGCGTGGTACGCTTGGGAGAAGGGCAAATCGCTGCTACATCTTCAGCATCAAGACATCACTCTGGTGAGGTAGCTACGGATACAGCTGATCGGCAAGGAGTAGGGACTGGTACGTTTGGGTCCGGACTGGGTGCGACGCATACGACGCGTACAACCGGATCGGACGCTGCTACGCACGATAGGGTTGCTGAAGCTAGGCTTACTAGGGAACCCCAAGGGCCCCAGGTACGGCAACTTCATGCACAGCAGAGCCAGCCTGCACCACAGCCACAAGCTTTCCCACAGCTCCACCAGCATACACCTGGTATTGCTCCTTTAGAAGCATCACTCCCACTTAGCACAGCCGCGCGGCAGCAGCATCAGCAGACAGCTCCTACCACACCTACAAGAACGCAGCAGATGCATCCTTCGGCGGTTTTGTCTCCAAACCAACATCCTGAACCCGAACAAGCCTCACCCTCTATCCAGGTCATGCGAGCTTGGACAGCTCAAGTGGCAGCTGCGGTTGGACAGAGGATGCAGTTTCCGTCTGTTATGGGGCAAGGTTCGGTAGAAGTTGGTTCTGGGGATACTGGTTCTCATGGTGCAGGAGATCCTTTGGTTTTCAACGGTGAAGGGTATGACGGCTTGAGCGCCTATGCCCGAAGCGAACCGCCTCCTGTACCTCAACATCTGCATGCAAGTATGGGTTCTGCAGCTCATAGAGAAGGTGTGTTAGCTGGTCTTGCTAGGGCTGGCCAAGCTTTGAGAAGGCGTGTTGTGGAACCTGTTCTACAGCATGTGGCCCGAAGCCCTGTTCCCCATCCTTCGCCATCCTTGTCTTCAGGAACTGATGGACTGAGAGCTGGAGGCGCTCGACATCCTGAAGGTGTATTTCCTCCCGCAGTGGCAGAGGCGATGCATGAATGGACTTCGAGGGCATCCTTGATAGCTCCAGGGCCTCAAGGACATGTGGGTGGTAGAGATGAAAGCTCTGCTAGCAGTTTGTCACCGGAGTTGATTATGGAGGAGGTGAAGAGACAGGTTCAGATCGCTATGGCTGAGAAGAATAACGAGGTTCAAGATCTTCAAAGGCAGAACGATACTTTGAAGAGGGCTCTGCAAGATTCAAGACTGGGCAGGTCAGAAGATCGTGACCAAAGGGTGCTTGCTGGTGGATCGTTTGAGGGGTTGGGCAATGAACCTGGCCTTAGCTCAACGATGCAGGTGCCTGGCGGCCAGACTCTTCACGGGGATCCTGGTCTTCTATATGAACGCGTTGGTGTATCAGGGTGCAATCCTCTAGGAGTAGGGGGACCTCAAAGTGTACCTACAGGCAACCTAGGTGGACATCCTGAACGTGGGGATTCTAATGGTAGAAGGCCAGCTGGAGAAGCTCCATCCCTTGAAGGACAATTTGGCCCTACGCAGAGGGACCCTGCGGTTGGTGAAGCGCGTGCAGATGAGCCTTTACAGTTGCTTGTGCAGGGCATGCGCCAGCTGCAGCAAGCATACCTTGGAAAGACCGACTCCAAGGATGTTGAGTTGAAGGGGTCTGTAGAAGTACCCTCGATGCCAGATGTTGGCCCTGAGGCTTCGGTCGCTTTCGCGGACTGGCTGTACGAGCTGGAGCAGGCGGTAGGAGCCCTCTCGGACAAGGCGTCAGTTTGGTTTTCTGCATGTTTGGAGGTGGCACGTCAAGCTTACATGGAATATAGTTTGGCATCTCCAATGAGGAGGCTTTCTTTGCAGCCTCAGATTCCTGAAGCTTTGAAGGACCCCAAATGGTCGCGACTCGAGCGACGGGTGATGACCCTGCTCCTTGGGGCCATGAAGCGACCTGCCAAGGAGGATGCAGTTACACACCGCATTGCAGATGTCCCTTCCTTGCTGTTCCGTTTGCATGTGCTGTACCAGCCGGGCGGAGTGTCTGAACGTGCCGCGGTGCTTAAGCATTTGGAGGGCAAGGCTGGAGGTGAAGACATCCACGAGTGCATTGCTGCTCTGAGGAAGTGGCGGCGTTACCTTGAAAGGGCAGAGGCTATGCAAGTCTCTGTCCCAGATCCTTCAATTCTTCTTGCGGGTGTGGAGTTGATGGTCAAAAGGGTTATGGCTTCCCATCCTGAAGTGAAGTTCCGCATAGACCTCATGAAGAACGAGCTCCAACTTCAGGGTCGTCCAACTCAGGAGGGAGTCTTACGTTTACATACGCATATCCTTGCGGAGCTTCAGATGATAGCACCTACTTCTTTGAGCCCCACTACCTCTACGGCGCTGAAGGCTATTGGTACAGGGCAGGCAGGAACTGGTGAAGCTTCGTCTCCCACAAACTCCCCGAAAAGAGGACAAGCAGGGAAGCTTCTGTGCAAGTTTTTCCTCTCCAAAACGGGGTGCACGAAGGGTTCTACATGCAAGTTTGACCATACCTTTGAGTCCAGGGAGGAGAAGCGTGCAAGGTGCTGGGGGTGTGGAAGCCAGCTGCACAGGAGGAACGAGTGCCCTGTGGCGGCCAAGTTTGGAAAGGGTCAAAAGTCTCCTGGAAAGGGGGGTAGGCAGCCAGTAGCTGGCCTGACACCCGGAACGTCCCTGATGCCGGTGTCTGCGCCCTCGAGTTCACAGCAGGCGATCCTGGAGTCTATTCAAGCAGCCCCTCCTTCTGGTGCAAGTCTTCCTTCGGATACGGCAGCCTCAACTTCATCAGCATCTACTTTGACTCAACCTCCTGCAGTTCCAAGTGACTCTGAGGTCAAGGACTTGCTCAAGGAAGCCAATGCTATGCTGAGTAAGCTTGCCAAACTTCAAGCCTTGGAGGTCAAGACCAATACCAGTGTTGGAGAGCTGAGTGCCGTTATTCGATCAGCAGGGCTGTCTTCCGAGGAAGGTTTTGCTTTGTTGGATACCGGAGCTTCTCATGCCTTTAAGACTGCTGAAGGGGCTGATTTGGAAAGGGCTTCACCGGTACGCGTGGAGCTTGCAGGTGGCCAGTATGTGACCCTCAAACAGAACAAGGCGGGGACCTTGCTGGCAGCGGCCCAAGATGAAGGAGCTCCAAACGCTACCCCCATTCTTCCCTTGGGGGCTTTGGTCCAGCAGTTGGGTTGTGATCTGACATGGACAAGAAAGGGTGGTCTCAAGGTGGTTCATCCTCAGTTTGGCGTCCTGAAGACCTTTGTAAAGGGCAATCATCCTATGTTGGCTGAGACCCAGGCTTTGGAGATTATAGCGCAGCTTGAAGATCTTCATCTCAAGGCTTTGGAGTCTACTACTGCCAAGACCTTCGTTCGCACTTTGGACTTAGAGGAGCTCAGGACTTGGGACTTTACGCTCGGCAAGTTTGTGGCCACTGGAGATCGGGGATGCCTGCTAGACGCTCTTACCTCGCCAGGCTCTCCGCTCGGATCTTTGCCACAGCATATTCTTTCCCTTGCTGCAGTCCATGTGGGACTAGATGATAAACAAGGGTGGAAGTACTTGAAGTCCATCCCACTGAATAGAGCTGCTCGTAAGGACATGATGACTAAGCGCTGGGTGGTTAGACTCTTCCGGCGAGAAGGCGAGGCCAACCTCTCCATCAGCAACTCTGAGAACGCCATTGTGGTGGATTGCAATGTGGCAAGGAGCAAGCGTTTCTCCTTGAAGGGAGAGAGTGCCATGTACAAAGCGCTCATGTGGGCGGCAGCGCGCGGCCAACTTGAAGGGGTTATAGGAAGTCCTCCTGTGAATGATGGCACAGAGCTCCTGACAAGGCAGCTCCTTCTCTGGATCGTTGCGCGACAAGGGGCAATGGTTCATAGGTTTGTGCCTCCCTATCTGGTTCTGGGTTCGACTCCGGCAAGTTCAATGTGGAAGTCTGACATCTGGGCTTCTTTCAGGCAGGAGTACTACGTGCCGATGATGCAGTTTGAATCAAGTAAGGATGGCGCAAACTACTTGTTTGCTACGAACCTTGCGATCAAAGGAAATCTTCTTCCTCAAGAAAGCGTGGAAGTAAAGGGTGGTTTGGCAGAAAGGGCGTGGCCGAATCTTTGGAGAACCCCTTTCCTTCAGGAGCTGGGCTATGCTGTTGATCGCTGGAGGAGCCATCCGGAAGAGCTGTACCTTGGCTACCTGCTCTATAAGTTGGATTCAGATGGGCCCTGGACTGACCGGGAAGTATGACCGGGAAGTACGCTACTGGAGACAACATGTGGCGAACGGACATACTCCGTTTGATAAAAGATGCAGGACGTGCATCACTACGTCGGCTACTGGCAGAGCACACCGGCGGATACTTGCCCCGTCATGCTATGTTTTGTCGTTAGATGTCTGTGGTCCGTTTAGGACAAAGGGTGAGTATGCTGGATCCCGAGGATATCGGTATGCCTTGCTTGGAACGTATGTCACTGGCTACAAGGACATTCCTATCCCCAAGGAGCCAGACTTTGAGCCCGAAGCTATTCCTGGTGAAGAGGATTTTCTGGAAGAACAGGGCCCTCAAGACCCTCCTTTGGACCCTAAGGACCAGGCGGAACTGGAGCAGTCGAACGAGAAGTTCCAGGCGTTGTACAAGGAGATTGGCGACACGATGGAGTACCAGACGCTTCACTACGCCATCCCCTTAAAGTCTCGCCTCATGCCTGAAGTTGATGCTGCGGTGAAACAGCTCTACCTCCAGATTCGTGCAGAAGGGCTGCCTGTAACCCGAGTTCATTCAGACCGCGCCAGAGAGCTCAGGGGAAGTGGATTGCGTGAGTGGCTTCTTCATCGGGATGTCCTTCCCACTACTGGGGAGGCACAGGCGCCCCAAACCAACGGGAGAGCTGAAGCAGGGGTCAAGCGCGCGAAGACTCGCGCAAAAACTCTTCTGAGGACCGCTGGCTTGGATCCTTGCTGCTGGCCCTTTGCTATGTCCTTTGCGGCGTTTCAGCAGAGAGAATATGCTCTTGGCCGTTCCAAGAATGTGATACCCTTTGGCTCCCCTGTGTTGGTCAAAAAGAAAGTCTTTGGAGCTGGAGGCAGATATGATTTGGATGATCGATGGGAAGGCGGAGTTTATGTGGGTCCGTCTTCGGAGCTTCGGCAAGGCCATGTGGTTCGGTTTCCTTCTGGGAGGATCGTGACCTCGCTTCATGTTAGAACGGGTGTGGTGGACTCAGATGGTCTTGCGCCCCTGGATCCTGTTGAAGCGAGTTTTCTCAGGCCTTCCCGAAGAATCACTGGAAAAAGACCTTTGGAGCCCCACGAAGCGCGGCCTCATGCAGACCCTCCAGAACCTCCAGAAGTTTCCTTTGACCGTGAGCATCAATCAGGGTTTGACATGGGTCATGTAGAAGCTGCAGGAGTTTGGACAGATGAAGAACCAGTAGTTGGTTTCCTCGGCAAGGGTGTCCCGCAGTTGATGGCATATAGTGTTCATGCAGACCATCCAGAACCAGCAGAAGTTTCCTTTGACCGTGAGCATCAATCAGGGCATTTTTGGAACCAGGTCTCAACATCCATCAGGGCATTAAAGCCCCTTTCCGAACCTGAGCGTCGAGCGGAGGAGCTAGCAGAGTCCTATCTCGAGGCCGGCGTCATGGGCACCAACTTGGTTCTCAAGCTGTTTGAGGTGCTAGAAGAAGTGCGTCAGCTGTTTTCGAGGGCTTCAAAGAGGCAGCCTAAACAAAAGGCTTCGAGCTGGGCGACTGGGGTTTTTACACATGGTGGTGTTTCGGGGCTGCGAGATGGTTCGAAGCGCTTGCCTGCAGTAACCAAGTTCCTGGCTAAGTTCGCTAAGGAAGTTATGGGTGCCAAGCAGTTTGGGACAGTTGTGATCCAAAGGAATGGCGGTGGAAGTGCTCATCGTGACTGTCATAACTTGCCTGGAAGCAGGAACTGGTTATGTCCTCTGACGTCCTTTGAAGATGGAGGTTTGTGGATCCAACAGGACCCCTTTGCTACGGATAAGGAGACGGAGGGGATCGCTGTAGAGAAGGAAGTTAAGCCTGGTGTGTATGTCAAGGGCAAGGTCGTTGAAGCATTGAAGGGCAAGCCATTTTCGTTTGATCCAAGGCTTTGGCATGAAGCACAGCCTCATTCTGGAGACAGGGTCATGGTTGTAGCGTATACTCCGAGACTCAGTAACTTGGATGAAGCGGAGGCGGAGTACGTGAAGAGCCTTGGCTTTCCTATCTTTGGTGAGGAGGACGGCGTCCGCCCTAGGCATGATTCTTGTGAGGTTTCTAATGCGCATGCATCTGGAGCAGATGATGGTGATCAAGACTTGGCTTCTCCTTTGCTTTGTTTGAATGAGACCCATTGTCAGCTTTTGGAGGATCTGCAAGACCGTAGTCAGTCTCTGAGACTTCTCTTGGAGGAGGAACAAGCCCTTGCTGAAGACTTGAAACAGGCGAACTCTCTTGTTCTGGAGGAGACGAGGAAGACCCAGTTCTTCATTGACACGATGCTGAAAAATGCTACAGAACTTCTTTCTGCCCAAGATCGGGCGGCTCTTAAGTTGTGCTTGAAGGCGGCTTCCGATAGCGACGAGCCTGACTATGAAAGCTTGCTCGAGTCCTTGGATAGCGACCTTCAGGTTGTTCATACGGTTCCGTTGACACAGGTCAAACCGGTTGTTGATCGATGGCACGTGGCTATACGTAAAGAACTGGACAATCTTTTTCAGGGAGGAACTTTGGTGGAGATCAGCCGCGAAGAGGCCCTTCGTCTAGAACGCCAAGGTCTTCTTAGACTTGTACCTAGCAAGGGTGTGCATACGCTGAAACCTCCTGCCCGCAAGAACGAAAAGTACAAGCGTAAATATCGCCTTGTGTTGTGCGGCAACTTTGTGGCTCCTGAAGAACAGTTCGGCTCATTGTATGCTGGAGGTGCCTCAGCTGAAACACTTAGAACTGTGTTAACTGTGGCGGCCAAGAAGAAGTGGTTGGGGGCAACGGCTGATATTACAGGGGCCTTCCTCCTTGCGCCTTGGCCTGAACACCTCCACCGCTACGCGGTCATGCCGCCGAAACTCCTGGCGGATAATGGATACGTGACTGAAGGCTTCTTTTGGCTCGTGCAGAGGCCATTGTACGGCCTTAGGGAGTCGCCCGCAATATGGGCGTCCTACCGCTCTGCCAGGCTGTCCAAGGCTCGCATCTTCTACAAGAACAAGCACCTTGTCTTGAGGATGTCAAAAGTAGACCCTGAACTGTGGCTTATCTTCTATGAGGACGAGGATGGCTTGCTGGGTTGTGTAATAACGTACGTGGACGATTTGCTCTATGTTGCAGATAGTGGCCTTGTCAAGGCGGTCCATGCGTGGGTTCTGGAAGAATGGCCATGTAATGAACTTGAATGGGCTTCAGTTGGCAATGGAACGCGCTATCTCGGCATGGAGGTGTTTCAGCGTCCCTCTGGTGCCTATGAGATCCATCAAAAGGGGTACATCCTGGACTTGTTGCGTTCTCATGGAATGGAGGATTCACCTGGAACTTTGCTTCCCTGCCCCAGGGAATGGATCTCTGATGATATATCCTCCGAACCCGAAGTTTTTACTGAAGCTGAGTTGCGATTTGGACAGCGGATGGTGGGTGAACAGCTTTGGCTTACTATGCGGTGCCGTCCAGACTTGCAGTTTGTAGTGAGTCATATGTCACAGTGGGTGACCAAGCATCCGAGAAGAGTGGCCCGCATCGCCAAGAGAGTCTTATCCTACTTGGCCTCTACTTTGGAGCTTAAGCTTGTCCTTGGTGGTGATGTTGACTCAGCAGCAGCAAGCAGCAGCAACCACAGCACAGCAGCGACCAGCGCACTAGAGGTTGCCTTAGTGGGTTATAGTGATGCTAGCTTCGCACCCTATGGTGGTAGGTCGTATGGAGCTCCTTTGATAACACTGTATGGTTCTCCTATTGCTTGGAAATCTGGTAGACAGGGTATGGTCACCCTCAGTACCATGGAAAGCGAGCTTTTGGAGGCTACAAGTGCTGCTACTCTCCTGGAATGCGTAGGTTGCCTGATTGATGAAATCTATGGACAAAGGGTTCCCAGACATCTGCGAGTGGACAACAGCTCAGCTACGGCCATGCTGTGCGGTGGTCCTGGATCATGGAGGACAAGACACTTGAGAGTTCGATCTGCTTTTGTAAGGGAACAAGTTCAAGAAGGTCTCTTGGATGTGTCTCATGTAGAAGGCCGTAAACAACTGGCGGACCTCGCTACTAAGATGCATCCTCGTGCTCGTCTTCTGGATCTGCTGGTGCAATGGGGCTTTGAGGGTTTGCCTGTGGACGCAGTTCAGCAGCAGATGCTGCAGGTCCTCATGGTGAGCTGTGTTGCGTTGGCGTTGGATCGTATCCCTAGAGCAGAGGCAACAACCACAGACAGCGCCTCCAAGAAGGATCCTCTCGCATCAGCTGGGGTAGATGAGCTACTGCTTGTTTCAGGAGTGGTTGCAGCGTTGGCGGTGGTAGTGTGGGAGCTTGCGAAATGGTTTTTCAGGTGTTTACATCGCCGTGTGAAAAAGGAGTCGAAGCTCAAAAGGCTTCGTGAGCTCGCCCGGCTTGCTGCAGAGGTCGAGATTGATCGGATTGAAGCTGAGCAGAGGCTTCCATCATCAGGAGAGGTTCGTGGAACTGTGCAGACGGCTCTCCCAGTCCCATGGGACTGGGAGAGAGTCTGGGCGACCTGTGGTGACTGCTGAAGATGCTCCTGATTGCTCCGTGGCTACGACACCTCGAGCATCAAGCTCCTCCTTTGGACCGTTCAGGGATCTTCAGCCAAGGGGGTCTCCAGGATCTCAGAGTGTAGAGTCTTATGTCAGCGATGATCTGACTCGGCATCTAGATAGAGATCGCCTGTGTCATGACGTTCTAAGCCTGATGCATTGCGATGCTTTGAGAGTTGGCCTTCGTCAGGAGCAGTTGACCATGTCAGGTCATAAGGGTGAGCTTGTAAAGCGCTTGGCGTTGAGACTTATCCCGGAGCCTCACTTTGCTGTTGAAGGAAGAGTGCTGCCCACCGAAAAGCAGCTTAGATTCGTCTTGTGGCTTTGGAGGCATAGAAGGCTCCAAACCAGATGTACTTTGCAATGGTGCAACTTGTCAACTCGTGAGAATATTTCGAATTGGTTGCGTCTCTGGAAGGATGCGTGAACCATGCAAGCACTGCAAGCTTTTGAGCTGACTTTCGCCTTCAGAATACCTAAAGGTGGAAGTTGGTAGAGAGGGAAAGCTCAAAGAGCTCCAGCACAACGAAACGTGACTCTTGTCCGGAGGACAGAGCCAAGGAGGAGTGCTGAACGCGTATGTGCAGGATTGGTCATGTTCGTGCTGAGCTCATGAGCGGTTCAGATGAGCATGGCTTATCAAGGCTTCAGCTTTAAGCTTCTCAGCTTGCACAGCCGTAGTCTTAAGACTTCGAACTTTGCTGTCGTGCTATAAAGAACCTCGGTTATTGAGTTCTCGCCATGGCTTCTGAAGACCTCTTCCAGTCACCTGTGACACCCACCGCTCCACACACTCCCACCTGTCCCTATCAGTCACCTACTTACCAAGGCCTGCTGACTCTGCTGATCCCCCAACCATAGGGCTCCCAGTTACCTAAATAGTGGGGTTTAGGGCTTAGGGTTTAGGGGGGTTACTGGGCTATGTAACTATAGGGTATATGGCACCCAGAACCCATGATTGAGGTAACTGGAGCCCCAGGGCAAGGAATCCTTTTTTTAAGGGGCTGGATCGACTCCGACTATGGTGAACCTTTTCTTGAGCCAGGAAGGCGCAGCAGTTAGGGACTGTACCTGGAGAAGGGGTTCTGGGTTTGACCTTTGGGTTGAGGGTTTAAGGATTTGGGGTTTAGGGTTTAGGGTTTAAGGATTTGGGACTTAGGGATTGTAGCCCTGAATTCTACTTGGTGGCTCATGAGTTCGTGGGTAATTAAAAGCTGTCATGTGAAAAATCTGTGGTAGGTTGCCTCTCGAAGCTGTGGGGCTTTTCAGGAGTCCTCACTACCATATGGAGCTGCATATTCAGGGTAACTGAAAGAGAGCCAGGGACGGGTCTATGGTGCGAGGCTTCGGGTTTAGGACCAGACAGAGGCTGTATACCTACTACTTCCGTATCTTAACCACTGTGTTTGAGGGTGTAACGCTACTCTAGGTACTTCGCGGATTGCTTGGAGGGTTTATAGTTTAGATCTGGGAGCTTTAAAGATCTTAGGCCTATTCTTGGCTTTATAGGTATGCTTATGAGAAACTCCCCATGCAGCGTTTAGGGCTCTAAACCCTAAACCCTAAAACGAGGAGGGAGAGGAAACAGAGCAGATGGGCCGTGAGAGAACCAGCAACTTCAGAAGTGAGCCCAATCTAACTGGTTGTTGGGGAAGATATAGGAGGGCTCAGGGATTAGGGTTTAGGGTTAGTCAGGAATGAGGGAATATACGAGGTACATGGGAATTATGCAGGGATCATATTTTCCTTGTTCCCTACTAAGAGCCAGGAAGCATTTGTTTGCACTCCGCCCTGCGTCGGCATAGTGATTTAGATTGAACTTGTGCACTTGACCGCTGCTTGTCTGTTATTATGTATTGTTTTACGACGTTAGGTCTGAGTCCTTGGGTCAACCCCTGTCGACTTTGAATTCTGCAACTTCTGCTGCTTCATGTGCGTTGCTGCTGCTCCAACCCTAAACCCTAAACCCCCTACTCCCTGACATTCCAAAAACTGGGTTGCTGTTAAGGAAATTAACTTAAGTTACTATATTGGGGAAACACTATTANNCTTAACAGCAACCCAGAAAACCCCTGAAGTCCAGGTGATGCAAACAAGCAGGGCCCAACGAGCCCATCAGAGACAGCCCTTAAGAGGCTCTCGCAGGACCTGCGGGCTTTCCTCTGTGAAATGGCAGCATTATGTATTGTATAACCCTTAACCCTAAACCGTCGGATTTGGGTTCAAGGCTTTTGGGTAGGGCATGAGGGAAGGTTAGAGGGATTCTCAGACTGGATTTTATACGGACGATTACTACTGCCTGGGGTTAGTTCCTTCTTGAGGGTTTTGGGTCTAGGGTTAAGGG